CGCTTGTAATTGGTCTAATCGGGGTGTTGCCGCTTTGTGGGGTCTTATTTTCATGTTTTCTCAGCGTCTTTGGATCCGAAAACAAAAACGTTCCTCAATTATATGGAAGGCCACCGCTTGCTGTGACCTCGTCTAAGATCATCTAAAAAAGAGTCCTCCTTCATTACCTGTGATGACTGAATGTCATGATTTCACAGCGCCTTTCATAGTCATACAAAAGTAGGCTTCTCAATTATGTACAGGGTCGCGAAGCCAACATCTGCGGCCCCGTCTAAGATAACCCAAAAGCCACCTTCGTTAGCGGAAACGTGGGTGGTGCCGGCCGTCGGCCCAGCGGCAGAGCGTGCCCCGCCTGACCCCGCTCGGCTGCGGCCGCCGGTCCCAGTCCGGCCCTCTGCGGCCGGCGGGCGCGGCCGCCACGCGCCGCCCAGAGATGCACGGGTCGGCCATATTTGGCGCCGGGCCGAGCGGCCAACCGTCCAGCCCGGCCGCCGCCGCCGCCGCGCCGCCCGCCCGCCCGCCCGCCCGCCCTCCCTGCGCTGCACGGCGCCGCGCTAGCCGGCTGGCCGGGCGGTCGGCGCGGCGTCGGAGTCGCGGCTTCGTAGGGAAGCCCTGGTCGCGACCAGGCACGGCTTCCTTGCGTATGGAGCTGCGCCGGGGGACGGCCACCCGCCGCCCGGCCGACGGCGAGCGGCGGGTGGCCGACGGTCAGGCGTGGGACGGCCCAGACGTCCGACGGCCGGACAGGGGGTCGACGGGCGTGGAGGTGTGTAGACGATAACGGCGCGAGAGGCAGGTCGTGAAGCCCGAAGATAGAAAGGCGGAGAGAGAGGCGGAACGAAAGTCTCCAGAAACGAGAGTGATCGAAGCCAGGTGACGCACCTACGTTGTGAGCAGTCGGATATGCAGGCGTCTTCACTAAGCTGCCCGGCGGTGACATGTCGCGGTATTACCCCGTCACACCCGACGCGACCCGTCTCGAACGCCCCGGCGCCGGCGACCGCTTCTCATTTCGAGGCCGCCGGCGGTCAGCTGGCTGCGGCCGGCCGACCTCCGGCGACCCTAACTGTACCGGCCGGCGCCGGGCGGCAGCGCTCCGCTCGTGTGACCCGCCACGGGGCGTGGTCTCGGGCACTTGGGCCGCTACCTGACTCCCCCGAACTGAGGCTTGCATTGGTTGGGTGGGCCTGGCAGATGGAGAAGGTTGAGAGCCGCGGCATCTGGATGTGCCGCATTCGCAGCGGGAGTCTTGGCTGCACTTCTGGCCGGCTCCACAGCCTGACGGTGACCCGATCTGGCCGGAGACCGTAGACCCGACCTGTCCTGGTAGTGGTGCATTCTTGACAGTGACCTGTCGGACGGCGTGCCTGTCGCAGATTCAGCTGACCTGGGAACATCCTCGGCATGACTCAGATCCGTGCTGGGTCGGGCTGGGCGTGGCCGTAATCCTGAAACGTCCGAGCCTCATTCTCCATAAATCAATGGAAGCCCCTGCCTTACTTCGGAGTGAGCCCATTCCTTACCTATGATGTCACAACCCAAGCCCATCTCCGACTCGGCCGAGAGGCGAAGTGTGTGTTTGTTTATGAGCGAGTCGTTGGTGCTGACGTAGCAACGCATAGCAACGGTTGATGCGGTGTTGACGGCCTTGTATATCCAGCAAACAGGCAGGTCTCGATCGCATGTGGGTGGTGTGATCTATAATGATGTATGTAGCTACATATCACATGCAAATAACTGAATGGCATTCCAATGCGCCATTGCTGCGCGCTACAGGTCTTCGAGGGCTTGGATCAGCCGATTCTACTTGTGCCCCATATTTGGAATAGGGGCGTTCCCCATTGGCGTGTATCTGTGATAGTACCTCAATTGTCGGAACTCGGGGCGTATGCCAGTGAGGAACCGGGCTTTGGGGACGTCTTCACTTGCATGAGTTGTAAGTCCGACCTGTGGCAGTGCTGTGCCACGGATCGAGCCTGTTGGGCACCTCACCGGCCTGGGGTCGAGCGTGCCCCGGCTGGGTACTGCACCTGTGCCAACTGTCCTCATTGGACTCATCGCTCAGTCGGGCGGCGCCGACTGTGGGGTGGCCGGGCAGCCCAGGCTGGTACAGCTGGCTTGCTGGATGACTTGCCAGCTCACTGACTGTTTCGCTGGCTAACTCGCTGCCTAACTCGCTGGCTGGCTGACTGGGGTGTCGGCTGGTGTAACGAATCGTCATGGCTTAAACACGTCAGGCGTGCTTGTTATGTAAAGACGCAACAGTCAGCACCGACCGTGGCGCGTCGAGTTCACATATGGATGTAAATATTGGCGTGATTTAGGACAGGCCTCGTGACACTTGCCCGTGTCGTGCATGGGGCGGTGATGCAGCCGTGTGTTGGGCTCGGCGCCGCGGGCGGGGACCGATGGCGTCCGGCGGCCCGCTGGTGGAGCGTGGCCCGTAACTAACACCGAGGCCGTCGGGCGAGCCGACACCGGGCCCTGGACCGGCTGGCGCCCCGACGCCGAGAGCCGGGGGCCGGGCCGTGACCGGCACTGTCGCCGGGAGGGGTGCGGCGGCGCCGGCCAGCCGGCGGTGGGGGTGACGCGACGCCGGGCGTGGCCGGCACCAGCCTCGGCCTCCGACCCGGCTGGGAGCGGCGCCGCTGGACGGAGACGCGGCCGCCCGGCCTCCGTCCGAGCCAGCGCCCCCGTCGTGGCGCGTCGGCCGCCGGGACTGGGGCGTGCAGAAGAGTGTTCGGTGCCCTCTGGCTCGTCGAGACCGCGGCCCGCTGCCCGGGTCACCCCGGCGATCTGGATCGGGGACTGGTCTCGATGACGAAGTGAAAGGAGAGCGAGGCTGTGGGTGCAGCGGCTGACGCATCACCCCGACGAGCTGTCGCTCCCAGTATCACCCGTCGCACCCTGGCTCCTCCCCTCCCCTTCCCTGCTCCTCCCGGTGGGCAGATGGCGCAGCGCGATGCTCCATGACTTGTGGATGGTGAATGCCGTTCTGGTCCCGCTGTCGCCATTGTGGACACGTGTTTTCCTTCGCCTTCAGTTCTGCAGAGGTCTGACGGGACGGTAATGGGCTTTGTGCCAAGTCTGTCAACAATGGCTGTGGCCTTGAAGCCACACGAAAAAGTCATCAGCCGGAAGGTTACGCATAATGCTGGTGGCAGAGCATGTCATCAACGCTCGCCGGCTCAATACGCACCGAATGCGGACAATATTTATTTTTGGTCACATTCACACGTGGATCGCATACTGTAAAGAGCGGCATTTTTTCGACGCTTTCGAGCGGTCGTGCATGACAGCTCTAGTGATTCTCACCTGCATTGCTAGTGTTAACATTTTAACGATTGATTTCCGGACATTTTTGCTCGGGTTGGTGTCGCGTAAATAACGTCTGCGTTATGTCATGCCTTCCAAAAATGCGCGCCGGCCACAGCCTTGCCTGCTGTCTGAGCCCCTACCCCTGCTGCACGGGATCTCGGTGCTCGCCGCCGTCTGAACACTGGGGCCGTGGGCGCTGGCAGCCGGCCGGCCGGATGACCGGTGACGTCAGACGGGGTGCGCCGCCGGCCCGGTCCGGCCGGCTCGAGCTGCCGCTGCCAGCCAGCTGTGCGCGCAGACCGCCAGCCCAGCCGACTCCAGTCAGCCGCCCCAGGCAGGGCGCCGGTCGCACACCGGCGGCAGCAGACCCGTCCATATTTGCTAAGCGCAGTACGCGTGCTCTTTGCGGTCCGCCATGGCTCCGTGTCCGCTGAGTTGGAGCCCCCGCTGCGGATGGGGCGCTAGAAGGCGTCGCCGTGTGCCGGGCGGTGGTGGCGCCGGGGCGTGCTGTGTCGGTCGGCCGGCCGCCCCGGCCCATGTCGGTCTTCCCGCTGCGGCCCGGCTAGTGGCCGTGTTTGGCGTGGTGCTCCGCTCTCGGCGGCCGGCGCCGGCAGCCGGACGACAGGCGCGCCCGGTTCCCAGAACGGTCCGCGCGGTGCGCACTCAGCATATCATGACGTGTGCCGTCAGGCAGGCAGGCCGGAACGACTGCCGACTGCCGGCTGACGGCCCCCGCCGGCTCAGCGTAAGCGGCCGCGGTGGGAGCTCCGTCCGCCGCCTGCACTCGCCACGGCCACCGCCCTCGAGCTCACGCCGGCGCTGGCTCAGGCCGTGGCTCGGGCTTTCTCGGCGGCGCCGTGCCGGTGCACCGGTGCCGAACACGGCACTGGCGCTGCTGTTGCGCCACCACCAGTGCCGTCGGGCGCTGGGCTCAGGTTCGCGGCGCGCGCCAGATTGATTACGCCGGCCGGAACCCGAGCGGCGGGGCCGCCCGGCCGTGAGAGCGGGCCCGGCGCGCGGCGACACGCCCGCCGCCGCCGCCGCCGCCGGCCGCGGCTGATGACCCGGCGTTGGTCGTTGCCAAGGTTACGGCGCTGACGCATGGCCGGTGATCCACAGAGGCGGCGGCAGCGGGGGTGGTGCGGGCGCGGACAAGGACAAGGCCGGCCGCGCGGCCACCAGCGCTGCCCCGCCCCCACGTCCACCCCGGCCACCGTCGCGAGTCGACCCAGCTCGGCTGCAGGCCGCTAGCCGGACGCGGGTGGACGTCCCGTTCGAAACGCCGTTCCACGCCCGCCACCCGCCAGCAGCCGCTCCACGTTTTGGCAGGCTTTGGAAACGGTCCACGCTCGAGTCTTGTTTGTCGACGCTGATGGCTCACCGGAAGCTGGCCGGCGGTGGGCGCTGCGCGGCAGGCGAGTCGACGTGGGGGCCGGCGGCTGCGCCGGCGGCCGGCCAGACGTCCACCGCCGCCGGCTGTCGGCCGAGGTCGGGCCGGCCGGCCGAACTGGCCGGCGCGCGACCGTGACCGTCTGTGGACCGTGCATCCGGACCGGCCGTCGCGAGTTTGGCGGTCCGGCGGCGGCCGACCGCGCGCGCCCCGGCTACGGCCGGCCTGCTGCGCGCGCGCCGTCGCCGCGGTGGAGGCGCTGTCTCTGAGCGTGTGTCTGCTCTGTTTCCAGAGGTCAGACTCCGGCTCAGGCGGAGACCAACTTCCTGAACATCGTCAAGTGGCTGGAGATGTACGGCGTCGACATGCACACCGTGCTGGTGAGTTGCTGCCGGCTGAATCTGCGTGACGGGCGTGTCTGATGTGCATCGTATCGTCAAGGGTTTGTAATGTTTTGTCGAAAAAAGACTAGCGCTAGACGTGCCCCGGAATGGCGTTCACTTGGAGTGAGCTGTGAGTAGATGTAGCCCCGTATTTCGCGAGACCGTCATGTTTCCTGTTTGGGAAATGTGCAGTTCATACGTGTTGTCTTCAAATCATGCACATCTGATACGCATGCCTCATAGCATGTTGCTGATAGCAAACAGCGTGTTTCGCTTTGCTGTCAGAATGGTCACCAGTGAAGCATGCGCAGGGCTTTGACGAAGGCCCGCCGGTGACCGGTCGTGCCGGCCGCCGCCGTGACACGCCCGGTCGCCGGCGGCGGTGTCGGGCTCAGGGGACGCCGTCAGCCGGCCGGAGCGGTGGCCCGGCGGGCTGGCGAGCAGGCGGCGCCGCCCACACTCGACGCCACAGGTCAACCGCTGCTTGAAGCCGCGTCGGTCGGGGCGGCGCAGCGTGTGGCGTGGGCGGCGCGCCGGGGCGGCGCGGTAGTCATCTGGGTTGAGGGCCGGGTCTGAGTGACGCCCGGCTCCCGCTGTCGCCAGGGCAAGGACATGTCGGAGTACTCGCTGGGCCTCACGCCCACCGGCATCCTCGTGTTCGAGGGCCAACAGAAGATCGGCCTCTTCTTCTGGTGAGCTCTCACCCGACGCCAGAAAGAGGGTGGCGTCCATTTTGAGAAGTGGCCGGCCTTTGGGTGTTAACGCGTGCGGTGCAAACATCTGTCCACTGTTTGTGTCGTCTGCTTAACTGCTTATTCTTCCTCGTCGCCGTCTGTGTGCCCGTCCCACATGTTCTTTATTGTCGTCTACCTGCTGTGTCGGTCTGCCTGCCTGTCCGTGTCTATCCGTCTGAGGCGTCAGTCAGTGGCTGCCGATCCCACGGGCCACGTGCTCTCTGTCTGGACGCTGGTCGGCCGTGCTCGGCCGCGCGAAGCGGCGACAGGGCACAGTGTCTGTCCGAGTCGTGACTGTCTCCGGCCGCCCGCTGCCGATCGCCACTGAGATACGGGGCGAGGCGTCGGCAATGGCGCCGCGGCTTGTCGGGCCGCCGCTGGTCGGCTTGGCGGCGCGCCGGTCCGTGTCACGTCGGTGTCGCATGCCACCACCGATGACGTGTCGGCCCCACCGCGTGCCACCGCTGGCGTGTCGGCCCCACCGCGTGCCACCGCTGACGTGTCGGCCCCACCGCGTGCCACCGCTGGCGTGTCGGCCCCACCGCGTGCCACCTCTGGCATTTCGGTCTTACCGATACTCCGGTCTGTCTTGTGAAACCGCATTTTGCATGTGTCGTGGACTGAAACTCCAAGATGCAAGATGGCCAACAGCACGGGAGGCACACTGCCGAAGCAGCTGAACACGGGGCCGGGTTTGTTGCGCGTATAGAGGATGCTGCAGCCAGGTGGTGATAACAGAGAAAGGATCCCTGCGCTGTTGCGTGTCGCAAACGGTTTACGGGGTCCGTGCTCGTCAGTTTGCCGTCTCAGTTGTGTGCGTGTCGCTCTGACTGACGAGCTCCACGCGTCGCAGGCCCAAGATCAATCGGCTCGACTTCAAGAAGAAGAAGCTGACGCTGGTGGTGGTGGAGGACGATGACGAGGGCCGCGAGCAGGAGCACACCTTTGTCTTCAGGTGGGCGGCGGGGTGTGTTGTGACCGGCTGGTGTGGCTCGTCGGTGACCCGGGGCGGGACAGACGACGCAGCTGGAGGGGAAGGGCGGGCGCCGGCTGCCGCTGCTCTCCCCTGCCACGGAACGGCGCCGGCTGGTGCCGTCCGCTTTCCCGGGCTGGGACGGGCCGTCGCTGCCGGCGGCTCGATCACGGCCAGCCCGGCCGCTGTGTGTCGCAGGCAGTGGCCGCGCGGTCGTGTCACATGCTCGAATGGACAAGGAGCGGGACAAACTGCGTGAGGGCGGGCGTGGGCGCGTGACGAAGAGTACGACTGTCAACATCCGACGTTGGAGAAACGGCACGTCCGAGGCGACAGGCCTTCCCGCGCTCGCCGATCGTTTGGCGAGAGGACCGGGGCTGTGCGGCCGCTGTGACGGTGGTGTACGATTTCCTGGCTCTGTCGTCCCGCAGCCAATGCAGTGCGTGTTGTTGGGCCCTCGCTGGCAGCATAGGCTTCAGACGTAGACGCTGGCATCCCGTCAACGTGCAGGTATCGGTCTCGCTCTGGCGCGTCTGAATGCGTCGGACCGCAACAGTTCACCGTACGCGGCGGAGACGGCTTCCGCTCTGATGGCTGCCGCCGGCTGGTGCCACCGATGGCTGGACGGAATTCACTGCACGCCTTGCGTGCTGTTGTAGTCGGATGTTTTTGGATCGTGCGGCTCTGCGCGTCTCCTGGCTTGCCGGGAGTGGTGGTGGCTGCGGCACGATTTCATTACGACCGTCACCGGCTCTCGTTTCCAGGCTGTACAACAAGAAGGCCGCCAAGCACCTGTGGAAGTGCGCCATCGAGCACCATGCTTTCTTCCGGCTGAAGGCGTCCACCAAGGCGCCGAGCGCGCGCCAGAACTTCTTCCGGATGGGCTCTCGGTTCCGGTACAGGTGAGCCGGGTGGGGCGCCGCCTCGCCGACCGGCCGGCCCCGGGCCGGGGCCGCCGGCCGTCTCTGCGGCCCGTCCATCTGCTGCCACGCCTGATGGCAGTCGACACTGGTTTTAGTCGGGTCGAAGCTCCTGGACGGAGACGGTGCGGTGACGTTGTCAGGCGTATGGTGAGAATGTTTCAACTTGGACACAGTAATTAGCTTGTCCCCCCCCGCGTGTTGTGTCTCGATGTCATGAATTTGAGCAGTAGGACGTGTCAACGAAAACGAACTTGTGGTGTCGAGGCTTGTGCCTTGATTCGCTTCCATTCAGGCTTGTTTCGTGCGTGCATCTGTCCCGTGTGCCCGGCCGAGTCGTCCGTATCCCGGTGGCCAAAACCCGGCCGTGTCTTGCGATGCCACCGGCCGGCTGGCATCCGTCTAAACGGATCCGGCGTCGACAGCGGCCGCACCGAGTACCAGACGACGTACCAGGGCCGGGCGCGACGCACAGTGCAGTTCGAGCGGCGGCCCAGCCGGCGCTACAGCGTGCGCGAGTCGCACATGATCCGCCAGCGGCTGAAGCAGGACGTCGGCAAAACGGAGCGAGCCGCGGCCGGCGGCGACGACGGCGGTCAGCAGAAACAGGCGGCCGCCGGCGCCGGCGGCGGCACACTGCCGAGGCCGGCGGCGGCCGCCGGTCAGACTAAGCAGACCAACGGCATCGGCGGCGCCCAGACGGCGCCGGCCGCCGGCGGCGGCGGTACGCTGACCAAGATGGCCAACAGCACGGGAGGCACACTGCCGAAGCAGCTGAACACGGCTGCGGCCGCCGCGCAGAAGTCAGGTAGGCGCGGACAGCCGGCCGGCGCTTGTGGTCCGGGGCGGGTGGCGGTTAGGCACCCCTGCTTGTTGGCCTGTGGCGACTGTATGGCAGGCGCTACCACATAGTTTGCGTTCATAACCGTGCATTGAAAGGCTCATTCGCCCGAGGAATTTCATCATCAAAGTTATTCTGCTGTCTGCTGCATTAAAGTTGTAAGCTTGATTCCCGCTGCCTGGTGTTCAACAATGCGCTTAGCATCAGTAACGTAGCATCAGCTCTGTCAGTCTTGTGGCGTCAATTCTGATGCTATTGTACTCATCTGGAAGTTGCCGATGCTGTCCTTGTATGCTGACTGCCTGGCAGCCACGTGTCCGGGCAGATGTGAACAGCGGCCCTCTCCCTTGGCGTCGCGTCATCCATACTGCGTGCTCGCCGAGGTAATGAAGGCGGCTGACGAGTTAAGTGCAGCATCTACATGGCTATCGCTCGACCGCCTGTGAATCACCCCGTGCACCAGAGAATCGAGCTCCTTCTCTGGCTGTTTTGATGGCGCCCACGAGCGGAGAGGCCGCTGGCTGAGCTTCGGCTGCCTGCCGACAGGCGGCGCCGAGGCGCGGCAGGCGACGCCGGCCGAGACCAGCCAGCTGGACGCCCTCATCTCGAGTCTGCAGCGTGAGGGCGAGGCCGCGCCGACACTGGCAGACGCCACCGACGGCTCGCCGGCCGGCACCGGCGGCGCAGGTGAGGAGAGCCGGCCGGCGCCCGTGAGGTGCCGCTCATGTGTCGCGGCGAGACACCCCCACTGGCGCGCCATCGGGCTGACGCCGAGCTGAACTGGACGTCCTCCCTGCCAGTGGGCACGGGCTCAGTGTTTATCACGTCGGCTGCCCGTGCTGTCCTGTTTGATATGTGTGTATGTTTCGATATGGATATTAAGTGCCATTGAACTCATGGTTAGGGTGCTCCGACGCATGGTGCCTATTTTGGTGTTTCGTTACGAAAAGAGACGAGGTAGCCGAAGAGAACAGTTGGCGCATCCATGCTTGCCCCTCACCTTTGAAACAAAAAGGCTCGGCACGCCTTTCTCAACGGGCAGGTGCAAGCTCACCGCATCATCGGGCGTATTGTTGGCATGTATATATTACCACGTTGATGCCATACTGTGGGAGGCACGAATCGAGGTACCCTTCTGCCGCTTCCTTGCCCCTCGTCTTACACGCAGTGTACCCGGCAGACGTGGCTGCCTTGGCCAACAAGGTGAAGTCGCTGGAGTCATCGCCGACCATCTACCGCTCCGTCGGGCGCAGCGTCAACGTCAACGTGTTGCCCAACAATCAGAACGCCAAGCTGGCGTCGGGTGGTGCCGCCAAGTCCATCCCGCCCGACAAGTTCAAGTCCAACATTCTGAAAGGTGCGGATGGCCGGGCGCGCGACCGCTGCCGACGGTCGCATGCTCGCCGGCTGCGCGTCAACTGGCCCCCGCGCGAGGGGCGCCACCGCCGCCTCCGCCGCTGTCTGAAAACGGCAATTGCAGCTGGGTGGTGCGGGTTAATTGCAGCGTGAGGGACGGGGCGGAGGTTTGCCGCAGTGTCGGTGCTTGGCGTCAGCCGGCAGGAGGGTGTGTGCGTTTGTGTGTGTCAGTCCCCCGCGGGCGGTACCGTAGCCTGGCGTTGACGGCGGCCCCGTCCGTCCGCAGCCCGCGCCGAGGAGACCGGTCTGTTGGTGGACCTCTCGTCCCCTACCGACAAGGTGGCCAAGTCGCCCCTGCTGAACGGGTGAGTGGAGGGCGGCCACCGGCCAGACAGCCGGCCCGGGCAGCACGGAGGCTGGCGACTCTGCTCACCGGGCGCTCACGTCACCGGAGCGTGTATTTCCACCGTGTGTGTTCGCGTGCGTCAGCCACAGCAAGAATGTCTGAGCGCTGGCTGCCGCGCCATGTCACACCCTGGCGCGCCGGAGGTGACGGGTACGCGCTACCGTTGCAGGGACTCGCGCCGGCGTCAGCTGTCGGCGGCGGAGCGGAGCGATGTCAACCACACCATCGTCTCAGTGGTACGTGACCCCGGCCGGCCCCAGCCGGTCCGCGGTAGCCAGCCGGCCGACCGTAGGGCAGTTGTTCTGAGCCCTCCCTCGCCTGTGTTGTTTGCGGTAGCTTGGAGCACCTCGGTGCCGGGGCCGTTCTGTTGTGTTGCTGGCCTGCCGTGGGAGCTGCGGGGACTAGTGCTTGCGGGGCTTTGAGTTGGCGCCGGACGCCGATGGTCGTGGTTGTTGGTCTCGTTTGTTTGGTCCTGTCGCGGGACCCGGTCTGTTTGGTTCGGTCGGTTTTGGTCCGGTCGGCGGGCGAGCGCGCACGCGCGCACGGTGAGACAGCACGGCACCTCTGCTCAGGGCGGCGACCGCCTGACGCTGTCCGTCAACGGCGGTGACGGCACCGACCTGGATGGTCAGGCGACGGCCGGCGAGACGGACCTGGATGCGTCGCCGTCGGAGCCCGAGTCGGCCGCGGCCGCCACGCCGCCCGAGACCACCAACCCGTTTGCGGCGAACGTCTCCAATCCGTTCCGCGCGACGTTCTCCGGCACGAACCCGTTCCGCGACGAGTCGAGCCTGGCGCCGCTGGCGCTGCAGACGTCGTCCGGTTCGTCCAGCTTGAACACGTCGCTCGGCTCGCCGCGCTCGCCCGGCGCCAACATCAACAACAACATGGTGCTCAATCTGAAGGGCGAGGTTGCGGTGCGGCCGGTGGCCGGCGGCGGCGGTTCGGGCCACGCCAGCCCCGGCCGTGTCTCCAACTCGAGCAACGAGAGCCAGTCGGAGCGGGCTGAGCCCAGCGCGGGCGGCGCCGCGCCCCCGCAGGTAATGTCCCGGTCACCGCGCGTCGGCCGACGGGCCCGCTGATGTGATGGGAATGGGGTAGCCCGACGGGCGGGGCAGAGGTCTGCTCAAGAAGCCGACGTGCCCCGAGCAGCTGCTGCCGTGCGCCACGTTAAGTTTATCATTCTCCGGAGTTAAAGGTGATCCTTTTTCAGTGCGTGTACGAACATTGTGCTTCCTGGCCGGCCACGCCGCGCGCGGGTCTCTGTCGCGTCGTTGGTCGGCCCTGACCACGGCGCCACCGCGCTGTGTCCGCAGGTGGTGGAGCCGGCCGCGGCCGCCGTCGCGCGCAGCCACTCGTCGGCGACGACGCGCGTGCTGGCCGGCGGTGCGGCCGTGGCGCGCAGCAACTCCAGCCTGTCGCCGTGGCACGTGGGCGGCGCCGAGCTGTCCGAGCCGCTGCGAATCGAGCGGCGCACCGTCATCACCACCGAGCTGTGAGCGCCCCGCCGGCGGGCGCCGAGCACGTTCCACCGCTCTCCGCCGGCCTCCGAGGCAGCACTACCGGCATCTACCGAACTCCGAGGGCATCTAGCTGGTGTCGGACGGTTGTGGTCCGCCGCTGCGGTGTCGATGCAGCTATTTCGGAATTGGAGGCGGTCGTGCTGGGATTTGAGATGGCTTGATCCGAGCGGCGGGCTTGTCCCACTCTCAAGCGCCCTGTCGCGGCCGGCGTGTCGTCTCTCGGGATGGCTTGATCCGAGCGGCGGGCTTGTCCCGCTCGCCGGCACCCAGTCGCGGCCGGCGTGCCGTCTCCCGGCAGGCAGTCGGCGCCGCTGGACGGCCCGTGGGCTCGGGCGGCGGTGTCCGCTCCGGTGCGGCGGCCGGGCCGAGCCGGCTGTGATGAGGACGGGCTCTCGCCCGTCACGTTCGGGCCAGAATCGGGACGGCCGGCGCGGGCGGAGCGGCCGGCGCCGTCGCTGGTTGTCCTGGGACGGCACCAGCGGCCGGAGCGTCGCGGCCCGGCCCGCAGGGCTGCGCTCCAGTCGCCGGCGCGGGCTGAGCGGCCGGCGCCGCCGCTGGTTATCCTGGGACGGCGCCAGCGGCCGGAGCGTCGCGGCCCGGCCCGCAGGGTTGCGCTCCAGTCGCCGGCGCGGCGACGAGGCGTCGGGCTCTGTGTGGACCGTGGGCGTGTCCGTTTACGTTTTAACTATTTCGTTTTACTAGTGAACCCTGTCGTGTTTTGTGCATCGCGTCCTTGTTACGTGTGGAAACCAGCTCCCACAAAGTTTTATCGCGGGAGGGTTTCGAGTGAAGTGAGGCAGCCCCATTGCATTGTGTTTTGTGCCAATTACTTTTGTTTTGCTTTGCCCGCTGTGAATCTGAATTGTGGGTCCCCGTGTGTTTTCCTTCTGGCGCTGGCCAGAGCCTTCTCCAATCGCCTTTCGCTCTCCCCGGCTTCACCGGCCCGTTGTTTTCCGGACCCCGGTACACGCTGTCGAGCCGATTCATTTGCCAGCGGCGCTGCCGTACTGTATAACTGTTTATGCCCGCGCAGTGTGTACATTATCCCGACGTGTGCCGTCCGTGTGTGAAGGGGTAATCCTGTCCGTCCACCATCAATGCTAGCCAGCGTCTGTGTAGAATGGCGCCCTCTGGGAAGTGTGGCGAGCGCGCCACTGTCGGCCGTACCTGCCACTCCGTCCCCAGCTGTCTATTTGGACTTCCCTTCGTTCCCAGTGTTTTTCTTGTCTTGTCTTACTGCAATGTGCGTCGTGCTGGCTTTCCCTGTCGCCTATGGTTTGTGTTCCGCCACGGGTTCAGACCACCATATTTGAACTCTTTCCATTTCTAAACCACTCCATGCGGCTCCGTTGTGTTGCCCTTAAACCTCTATCCTTTTTGTGGGCACTATCTCGTGCCAAACTCAAGTTCATTGTGAATAGCCATCATTGGTGCGTGCACACCTGGACCCTGGTGCGTGCGGGTGTGAGTCAGGGAGGGGCGAAACAGCTGTGGGGGAGGATTACTGTAGTCATAAACGTCGTGCTGCGAGTACCGCACGTCCCCCACGCCGTGCCGTGCCGTGCCGGCACAGCCGGGCTTCCAGTGCAGCTGTGTGATGGTAGTAGCGCCTCCATAGACCGCGGCCTTCTCCGTGCCTGGCGTGTAACGTCCGCCGTACTTGTGAACATTCCCAATGTGGTAACCCCGCGTGCCGCGTGTGGTGGCGCGCCGCGCCGGCAGGACCAATACAAGGGCTGGGGAGCAGCCGCGGCGTCTGGCGTTGGGGCGTGCCGGGGGAGTTAAGGCATGAGTGGTCGTGTTCTGCACCTTTTCTTGGCGTGTTTGCCGTATGATAATCTTATCTGGGACAGCCAGCACTGGGTCATACGCTGATGTTCTAGAATTGCATACACACAGAGCTGGCACATCGGGAAGGCTGGGCACCCCAGCATCACATGCACTCAGAATTGGCACATCGGGAGGGCGTGGCGTCCCAGAATCACATGCACTCGCAATTGGCACATCGGGTAGGCATGCTTGGCACACCGCCAGTCGTCCCACCCTCCAGCTCCAGCGCTGGACTTGACGGTGGGATTCCACATCTCCACGCGATCCTCGCCGCCCCATGCGTCGTCCGGCGAGTACCGAGACCAGTGCGCTTCGCCGGCCGTCACCGGCGCTCCGTCGGCAGCCCGGCACACACCCTCCTGAGTGCAGTCTGTGACGCCCAGCCAGACGCGCTCGCAGCCGGCCAGCCCCGCCACGCACATGTTCTCGTTGTGGATGCGTGGCACGGCCAGGTGACCGTTCATCCGTCTGCACCGTTGCTCGGCGCGGACAGTTCACGGCCGAGTTCAGGCGAGCGTAACAGCGGCCTGCACACTGCACGAAGCCGTCCGGGCAGCTGTCAATGCAGCGACGCCTGATGTTCCTCCATGGACGGTACAGTGTTTGTCGGTGTTATGCCGGACTGCGTACGGGGCACATGTGAGAGGGGCGCGCTGCGACGATAGGTGGCGCACGGAGCACATGTCAGAGGCGCGCTGCGACGATAGGCGGCGCACGGGGCACATGTCAGAGAGGCGCGCTGCGACGACAGGCGGCGCACGGGGCACATCAGCGAAGACTGTCATGCAGGTGCCGCTTGTAGCCTTCCACAGCAAAATGACAACAAAAACTCAACAGTCGCATCTCAGGTGTGGACATAAATTTGTATGTGGGATTATCGATTGCTCTGGATTGACTTGTGAAATGTTTGCAACACCATTTGACCGAGGCTTTATTTTATAGCCCCGGACATTTGTTGAATGAAGGAGAGAGTTTTACGCTCGACAGGCTGTTCGTCTACAAAAAATATCACGAATACAGTAAACCTTCGTACCACCGGACTCGCAGTAAGGGAGGGAGTATGTACATTTGCCTTTGCCTTTATGTGGTCAGGCGTTCACTAATGTGCCCCATAACCTGTGTGGATGTTTTTGCTCGTAGTCCATCTGTTATGCTCCAGTCCACCAAGTTATGTTATATCTGTTAACAGCCCCAAGCGTTTAAAACGGCCTCATCGCGCGGCGATGTGGCCGGCTGACAATTGCCAAACCCCGGTGTGAAGTCACGAAATGCCACAAGGCGATGTGCATCCGTCTCCAGGGTGGAGACGAACGCACCCTCAATCTCATCACAATTTGGAAGATCGCGGTTTGCTACGTCGCGCATCGATCATTTGTGCAACCCTGCCAATGTGCCAAACAAATGTGGCACATTTTCTCCCATCACAGTCCTCTGCATTCTGAGCTAGATGCACACAAACTTGTGCAGGCTGTTTCCCGCGGCTTGGTTTGAATTCACCTATAGATGTAGACGTCATGGAAACGTCACACGAATTCTGCCTTCTCAATGGCGTTCTGTGCTCAAGGACACGAAAAAATGAAACAGCTGAGTTATTCGTGTCTGGAGACGTCTACACGGATCGTACCATCAGTAGGTAGCACTTGGTTTTCATCCAAGTGAATCCGCTGCATGCATTACATGTCACAAGTTTCGAACACAAGTATTTGTTATTTGGGCAAGCCCCGGGTGCAGCCAGAGCCTCGGCAAGGAGGGTAGGGACATGGGTTGACAAAGGGTCCCCTGATCGAGAAACGGCCCGTATCCCCTCTCCCCGCAAAGCGCTGGATATGGCCCATTGGTTAATTATAACAGTTTTTGGTTGCATTGTTTTCGAATTTTACCTTCTACAACTGGAGCAGAAGCCAGAAGCTGCCGCTAGATCAATTCTGCCTGAATATGTAGCCAATAAACTGAAGAAACCATGCGTTGATCGATCGTGTGAAATAAAGCGTCGGTGCTGTTCATTTACATCACATTCCCTCTGCTGTTCATTTTCTGCCGTTTTCAAGGGCAGCTTGAGAGACAGAGAGAGAGAGAGAGAGAGAGAGAGAGAGAGAGAGAGAGAGAGAGAGAGAGAGTCTGCTTTCAGTTTCCGAATCTAAGGCGGCTAGCCCAACTCACCTTAGCAAGGGCCTCCATGACCAAAACGTTGAAAACAGCTCGTAGCCTGGTGGTGGAGGATGTTGCCTTGATCCCCGTCAGACAGATCACCAGCAACGGCGGGATGTACCATCTGTAGCCGAACAACATGCTGTCTCCGCTGGCTGAGCCGTGCCCGATGGCCGCTGTGAAGGTGAGTCAGACCGACCAGCGACTGTGGCGACGGCAGAATCCGACGCGGCGTGTAGGAGGGCCTGCGTCCAACTGTTGTCATCCCAACAGCGGCACCATTCCACCTGTCGCTGGCAGGTGACTGTCTGGACACGCGCCTGGCTGATGACTGTCTGGACACGCGCCTGGCAGATGACTGTCTGGACACGCGCCTGGCTGATGACTGTCTGGACACGCGCCTGGCTGATGACTGTCTGGACACACGCCTGGCTGATGCAGATCATGCCAGCCGATGTGCGAGTTCTCTTGCCGGCCGGTAGTGGTCCCACAATGACATCGCATACACATAGCTGCAAGCACTACTCACAGTTAGCAGTACTTAAACACGCGCTCGGGTGATGCAGGTCACTAATGTCCCCGAAGATTTTTCCAAGTACCTTCCGAGTGGGACGGCATAGCCACGCTAGTCGTTACAGACCTGTAGCCATTTAAAAAGGCCGATCTTTGGTATCAAAGCGTGGGTGTACCTAGAAAGGCCGCTGACTTATGGCAGGACGCCGGCGGACCTTGGCACAAAAGCAATTCCAGTGGAATCATTCACGGTGATGCGACAGCGGAGTGTAATTAAACTTTGCGGCGCAGCTCATGTAGCTACTGATGTGGCCGAATGTCAGACACTCAGACCAATGAGCAACAAAAATTTGTTTTCGATCTCGTATATCTGTGAATTTCGGAAACCGCAAGACCTACGTGCTCATGTACGCACAGCCTGATGTAGTTCGAATCAGGTATGCAACTTCAAGTGACTGCGGTGGGAGGGCTGTGCGGCGAGGTCA